CCAAGTTGATAGTTACTAAATTTTAGATGTCAATCACTGTTTTACAAAGAATTCTGCTGTACCTTTACCTTTCAAAACTATTTTAATTATTCCAAATATTTAAATCAATATTTTCGCAAAAAGGTTTATTATTGTCATACTTAAAGTTAAAACCCGCCTGATATACAATTGGAATCGTAATTAACTGACTGAAAGTAGCCTCTGAAAGTAGATCTTTTTGCACATATTAGCCGGTAATTTTAGACAGGTGTAACTCAAATGCTTAAATTTGCAACTTCAGGAAAGCGTTAACTTCAGTCGCGACATTGTCATTTTTAATTGCTTAAAAACTAAATATGAGATTACCAAACTTTAAAAATTTATATGAACGTGTTAATTCAATGTACATTTAGTTGATTGCGCAATAATAAATAATGAATTGGCTTTTTAAAAAGGTTACAATAGTTTTCTTAGAGAAAAAGTATTAACAAAACATTTGTAAAGCATCCTTCTAACCTCCTTGCCAGTTATTTAAAAAAATAATACTTTTATATATCTAACTCCCGAATATATCTTTGAATTCTTTAGATGCAAGATCCCGTGCCTCAAACACTCTAAACAGTATCATTCTAGATCCTTAATCCAACTGATTCGGACAATTCGGATTAAAGGCGGTGTAACTATCAAGTCGGGAGAGCAACAGATACGAGGGCGCCAAGATAACCCAGGATAGTTAACGAATGTAGGATAAGTGTATGCAGATGTATGTAATTGGTGAGTAAATAATAAATAACGAGTAGATGTGTAAATAGATACAGACGTCACGAGATAAGTAAAGAAGCATGCGAGAATAAGATAATGTATAATAATGTTATAGTGAATAATATAGTCGTAAGATACGATAATATAAGAACGCTTGAAGGTCTTTATTTATAAAGGAGAAACTAAGGTCTTTATTTATAAAGGAGAAACTACTTCAGATAGAACCTCTAAGCACAGTCTGTAAGTAGAAACTCCCCGTACAAGCAAGGCGAATTCGAAAAGCTTTTATAATTACATGCAACTAGATTCTCCCCCGATACTTACTCCTCGCTCCTTTATCCAATTCAAGACTCCCTCAGAAATATTCATTCGACAGTAAGGTTAGTAGAGAGTGATTATAGATGGCGGTAGAATTCAAAAAAGGAAATTACATTGTTAAAATTTCCTTTTTTGAATTCTACCGCCATCTATAAGCGTGATAATAAGTAAATGCATTATGATCAAACGTTAGTGACCCGTTTGATGACCAGTTACTCCATCGTAATCTCAAGGGATTCAACCTCATAACTTCTAGTTTGGGGCCGCAGTAAAACTAGAAAAAGGGCAGTAGGGCTAGATCGTAGCATCATTCGTGTATTAGATATCAACGATTGCGCGACGGTTGATCCCAGTATGGTATTTGGGTATGGAAATAATAATAAGCTAGGTGTATAGGAGTATGAATAAGGAAATGGAGGATAACTAGATATGGCAATAAGAAAACTATGTATCGGGATATAAATATAGAATAGATGGGCAAGTGGAAAGACAGGTGATATTAATATTAACATTAATATTAATATCGGTCATACGGTTACCGGTTTTGTCATGTGATAATAGTAACAACAGATGTCCATATTGTTAAAAAATAGATCCGTAAACCATAATCTTAGAAAAAAAGTCAATTAATTAGATCGTAAATAATTTTCTCTAGTGTTTTTTTCTTAAATCAGCTGATAATTCTGAATATTCAAACAAGTCAGAATAGTATTTCACAAAAAGTAGTGCCATTACTTTTCTTATTTTAGAACCAAGTAACCGTACATCATTAGAACGTAACGTTTCACTAGTAAGAAAGCTACTTAAAATACGGTACAAGTAAATTCAGATTGCCGTTCGAATACATTAAGGAGGATCCGGAATATTAATCCGAATAACTCCTGAAGGATAGGATCGAAGCTCTAATTCTATGTAAAAACGTGTAATATGGTGTAGTTAGTTTAACCTAGTTTGCATATTTAATTATAAGAACCGAATGTAAATAGAGCTGGATGAACCAATAACATCTCTAACGTGTAACTCTGAAATTTTTTATTTGCGACACAACAAATGACGAATTTTTAATATCGATAGTATTTCCTATTATGCATCGTTAATTAAACCAGAAATTTTGTTAACTCATCAGTCTAAAGAATTAATATCTTTTATACAAATAGGATACCACTGAATCAGAATTTCAACCTCGTGTTCTTATTAAAAAATTTAAAAAATGGACAAGCACTCATGATATTTATACTTTGAAAAAAATCATTGAAGATAACAAAATATCTCATAAAATGTTAGTTGAGTCTATTGAATTGTTAGCTGATTCATCCGCATTTAAATATTATAGCGTTGAGGCTGTCTCTGAGTTAGTATCACATATTCGTACCTTTGTTTCTCTCATAGAAGTAGCTTGTAAAAGTGAAATTCGGATTAGTCATGATTTGAGAGAAAACATTTATTCCCAATTAGGAAAATTTGCTGAGATACATTTTCGATCAACAGAAGTTAATGAAGAAGGTTTTAATAAAGTGTTTAAATCACAATTTGAGGATTTTAATCCACATTCAAATGATAGTAAAATTCATAAAGATGGAAAACGTAATTACAATATTGATTTCTTGTTGTTACACTTACGAGATACTCTTCATTGTATTAGAGATGATGAAAATAAATTTTTGGAAATATGGAACAGAGTAAAATCAATTCTTCGCATAATATTAGGTATTGCTTCAGGATCTACAAAAGCTGGAATTTCATATGGAGCAGACTTACCTATAAACAATGGTATAGAATTATTGTTTAAGTGTTTACAAGAAGCCTTTAATTGGAAGTATCCAATTTCTTCATGGTATTATGAATGGAGAACATTACTTGAACTATATTTTAATATTCAAAATTTTCTTCAAGAATGTTCACTTTCTTTAAAATATGGTGAAAGTCTATTACTTGAATGCTTATGGCATTGTGTATCAAGAAGTTGGTCAAATCCAATATATCAATCAGAGTATCTTATAAACCAAAAGCATTTTATTAATAATCTTTTAGGTAAAGAACCTCTTGCATTTCTGCATTCTTTATGGTTTGGAGCTCTTGATATTATGCAAGATTTAATTGCAAAAACTCAAAAAGATTCAACATTAGGTATTTGTTATTATTTAGCATTAGAATCTTTGCAAAAAGTACCATTATCATTTATTCGTTTCAAGGCTACTGAAGTTCTAATTAAATTGTCAAAAAGAAATATGCTATTTTACAACATTATTAAAAATGATTTTAAAGATTATAAATACTCTTTAAATTCAGTTGAAGGGTTAAAGTTTGATCATATGAGTGAAGCAATTCATGTAAAAACTTCTCAAGATGAAAAATTAGTAGATATTAGCAAAAGTAATATAAGTAATTTAAAGAATAAAAGAAGGGCTATTACAACATATGGCTTAATATCACCTTATTCCATAACTCCAAGTGATGACTTGATTTCAGATATTGTCACTACAGAATTATCTTGCCCAGTAACTTATCAAATTTTAAACAATTTTCAAATTTTACCCTGTGAGCATTCAATTAGTCTTGAAGCATTGCAATGAATTATTAATAAAACATCCCAACCAACTTGTCTATTATGTCGGAAAATAATTGATTTAAATTCTGTGATTAATTTGCCACAATCAGCAATTTATCAAGGAATCCGTAATCGATTGCCTGAAGACAATAATGATGCTCAAAATCACAAAAATATTTCTAATGAAAGTAGTGATGATGAAGAAATTAATATCTCTAAACTCAAATTTCAACAAACATTTAAAATATCTGATTCAACAGTAAAAAGATTTTTTAAAGCATCCAAATTTTTTCACCCATCTTTAAGAAAAGCAAATACAGCATATAAATCAGGAGAACTTGAAACTGCTATTAATGCACTTACAGAAATTCTTGAAGAATATCCCACAAGCTATTCTTTACAATGTCATCAGGCCAAAGTAATAAATTTCACGAAGCAATTAATGATTTAGATTCAGCTATAAAACTAAGATCAAATAAATTTGATGCCTATTCACTATGTGGGATAACGTACTTTAAAATTAATAAATACAATGAATCATTTGAGAATCTAACAAGGTCATTAGAAATAGAACCAAATAATGTATCTGCTTAAGTTATCGTGGTATAATTTATTATATAAGAAAGGAATATGATAAATCACTTCAGGATTTAAAAAAATCATTAGACATCGAGCCAAATAATGCATCTACATTAAGTTATCGTGGCATGGCTTATTATATGATGAAAGAATATGATAAATCACTTTTGGATTTAACAAAATTATTAGAGATTGAGCCGAATAATGCATCTGCATTAAGTTATTGTGGCATGGCTTATTATATGATGAAAGAATATGATAAATCACTTTTGGATTTAACAAATTTATTAGAGATCGAGCCAAATAATGCATCTGCGTTAAGTTATCGTGGCATTATTTATTATATAAAGGAAAATTTTGTTAAATCACTTTTGGATTTAACAAAGTCATTAGAGATTGAGCCAAATAATGCATCTGCATTAAGTTATCATGGTGTTATTTATTACACGATGCAGGAATATGATGAATCACTTTGGGATTTAATAAAATCATTAGAGATTGAACCATTTAATGCATTGGCATTAAGGTATCGTGGTATTACTTATTATATGATGAAAAAATATAGCAAATCACTTTTAGATTTAACAAATTTATTAGAAATCAAGCCAATTGATGCATTTACATTAAGTTATCGTGGCATGACTTATTATATGATGAAAGAATATAATAAATCACTTTTGGATTTAACAAGATCATTAAAGTTCGAGCCAAATGATAAATTACTTTGGAATTTAGTAGCCTTATTAAAAATCGAGCCAAATGACATCTCTGCATTAAGATATCGTGGTATTATTTATTATATGATGAAAGAATATGACAAATCACTTTGGGATTTAACAAAATCATTAGAGATGGAGCCAAATAATGTATCCACATTATTTTATCGTGGTATGGCTTATTATATGATGAAAGAATATAATAAATCGCTTTTGGATTTAACAAAATCATTAAGGATCGAACCAAATAATAAATTACTTTTGAAATTGGTAAAATTCTTAAAAGTCAATCCAAATAATCCAAATGACATACCTGCATTAAGATATCGTGGCATTATTTATTTTATGATGAAAGAATATGATAAATCACTTTGTGATTTAACAAAATCATTAGAAATAGAGTCAAATAATGCATCTGCACTAAGTTATCATGGTATTATTTATTTTGAGAAGAAGAAATATCATAAATCACTGCGGATTTAGCACAATCATTGGAGATCGAGCCAAATAATGCGTCTGCACTAAGCTATCGTGGTATTATTTATTATGAGAAGAAGGAATATTATAAATCACTTTCGGATTTAATACAATCATTAGAGATCGAGCCAAATAATGCATCTGCGTTAAGTTATCATGGCATAACTTATTATATGATGAAGGAATATGACAAATCACTTCTGGATTTAACAAAATCATTAAAGATTGAACCAGATAACACATTGGTATTAGGTTATCATGATATAGTTTATAATATGGGGTGTTATCTATTAAAACAGCCCTTTTTTACAATTTTTTGAAAGGTAAAGGTACAGCAGAATTCTTTGTAAAACAGTGATTGACATCTAAAATTTAGTAACTATCAACTTGG